CAACGGCTCTGTGTAGTTAATGCTGCTCAATGTGAAAGCCCGCAGGTGATGGAGATTTACCGCTGATTACAGAATCGGCTTTACTGATAAGATGTGCGTTAAATATCGCATGCGATTTATTGTGCAGCCCTAGTCATTAATGAATATCCTGAAAGACTATGAAGAGGTCAACTCCCTTGTGAGAGGACCCTGACTTTTAACTCCCCCATCATAAAAGTCTGGAATTTGCATGGTATTCCTGGCAGCCTTAGTCTGTCGTTCTCATTCAATAGTTATTCAAAGTTTGGCCAAAAAAGGCTATTTGTCCTGTGTAGCGAATCAGCTCATGGGGAAATATTAATAATTAATCATAACTAGTTATAATTAATTATAAATATTTAGATCCGCTGTAAGTATTTACTTGACCTCTCAGGGTCAACTGTCTGTCAATTCTAAGAACGTTAATTTCCTGGTTAAGGTAAATAACTTTCTTACTGTACAGTTCTACAGAGAGCCTGTAGCATAAATCGGCATGATTAAGGGACTCCAGTTGCCTGGTGCCTCTTGCGATGGAACATGCAGTGATTTTCCCTGCTTCGCATTCCATTAGGTCGTAAATGTATCTGGTGTCAGGGTTGCCATGGTAACCAGGGTCCTGGGCCCTGTTCACAGACAACTTGGCACCCAGTATGTTTATTGGGTGAGGGGTCTGTCAACGTTTGTTAATCTAATGAATAATTGATTTGTTAAATCAAATGAAAAATGGTGTGTCTGATTGGTCCAGACGCTACACCTGTTTACATTACTATATGGAAACTTTGACGAGATTTTGACAATGTCTGAATGGATGTGAAAGTCCTAAAACAGGACAAATTGCACAGTTATTGACTGTTTAAGTCAACTGCACAATTCTTCCCTATATTATGAATGATGAATAAAGAAGTAAAGGCAAGTGAAGAGTTGGTCATCATCTAGGTACTCACCCACTACAGTAATGACCGCACTGGTTATTGCTTCCCCTCCATCATTGCTGGCATGACATTCATAAATGCCCTCATCATCCTTCTTCACCCTCTCAATCATCAGAACGCCATCTTTTAGAATGATACCTGAAAGCATTATAGAAAGATACACCATTTAAAACGGAACAGATGCAGGAAGATCCAGATCCCTGATAGAAGGATCTACATATAAAGTCACTATAAAATAGCTGATCACTTGTGACCGCACATAAACCCATTTAGTGCTTTCTCACCTGGTCCCTCTGTGACAGGAGTCTTGTCTTTGTACCATTTGATATCTGGTTCTGGCACACCCTTAGCCAAGCAGGCCAGAATCAGGGTGCTGCTGCTGTTCACATCCTGATTAGTCAGATTCTGCATCAGCGTGGGCCTTTGCCTCTCTGTGTCAGACAATGGAGAGTTACATCTTGTTCTCATTAACATAACACACTTCTATAAAATTCTTTGATTATAGATATCAATGTAAGCAATTCATGTACCAGGGTGAATTATAAGAATACTGCCTAGATCTTTTGCATCAACATAGTGGCTCTATTCTGATGACACTTTAGCCTACTCTACATTGATGAAATGAACTCCCATTCTTACTACTGCAATGCATTAAAAATTATGTATGAATTAAATGGTAACACTTTACAATAAGGTTCATTAGTTAACTACTTTAGTTAACATGAATTAAGAATGAACAATACTTCTACAGCATTTATTAATCTTAGTTCATGTTAATTTCAACATTTACTAATGCATTATTAAAATAAAAAGTTGTGCTTGTTATCATTAGTTAATGCACTGTGAATTAGCATGAACTAACAATGAATGACTGAATTTTCATTAACTAACATTAACAAAGATTAGTAAGTACTGTAATAAATGTATTGTTCATTGTTTGTTCATGTTACTTAATACATTAACTAATGGAACCTTCTTGTAAAGTGTTACCAATTAAATATATAATTAAAACATAATTAATTTAATAAATAAATGTAATCATTTGATTGTAAATTACTTTGAGTTACGTACAACAACTGTACAACTGTATTTGGATGTAAGGAATTAAATTTAATAAATGCTAATTTATGTAAACAACTAGACAGGGTGATTTTAATTATTGTATTACAGTAATGAAAATAAGAAGTGCCTTATTGTCATAAAAACAATAATTCAAATAATAATGTTCAATATTATTAATATTTATTTCATAAATGTTTTTATTATAAATGTATATTTGATAATAAATGTATTTTTGTTATTATACATTATATTATAATAATTATATATTTTTAGAATTTATTGTATTGTATTGCATTTAATTACACTAATTATTAAGCAACCATACAGGCTCCTAATCATAAAACTGCAAGTATAACGATGACAACAACAACTCCTCTTTCTGAGATTCAAACACCAGAGCCATTTGTTTCTTACTGATCAGTAACATAAGCTGGGTCATACATTACATCATATGATGTACGCTGATGCTTTCATAAAGATGAAATTCTTTGGTGCTTAGTAGAAGAAACTCACCATTAATAGTCAAAAGAGATGTTGTATTGACCACTTTATTGGAGTTGATGTTTAAAGCCTGGCATTCATAGCCCAGAGTGTGGTTTCTGGAGACACTGGGCAACTTGATAGACAAAGATATGGTGTAGGGCTCGATCCGAAGAGTGGTTTCATCTTTGGGCACTATGCGGCCCAGTGGACCATACCAATGCAACTTGTCGTAGAGGTATCTTGTGCCTCTGCAGGTCAATGTAACATCATCTCCTGCAACAGCTGTCGAGGGCCTAATCTCAAACGGCTGTGTCTGATCTAGTGAAAATAAAAGAAAATAAGACATTAAGAAGCAGGACGGAAAAGAACAATTCATTGAACATGTCAGTCAACATGATGCATCTATTGTGTGCTTTTCATTAGTGTTGTTTTTGGCGGCCTGTTTTAATTTTAGTTTTAGTCTTTGTGTGAAGCTGTCATTTTAGTTTTTATTAGTTTTAGTCACGTTCATACTCTTTTTAGTCTAGTCACTTTTCATGCATAATCTGTAAATCGACAATCAGAGACAGCGTGACTAACTCACAAACATATGGCTCATAAGGGACCTGAAATATACAGCATATGTATATATATATATATACTGTATACACACTACACACTACACACAAAGCTGTACACTGCAATGCCAGGAATGTCAAATTTGCAGTTATTTCCTGTTTCATCACTCCTAATTGGAAGCACGTTGTTGGCGAATGGCGGCAGCGATGGCTGACCTGAAGCATTACAATAGGAACCAGGCTAAGGCCAGGCCTCCAGGGAGCTGGCAAAATGCTTGTTTATTCACAGCAATATACGTCCCACCAGAGGAGACAGCTGTTATTACTATTGCAACCCTCTGACCAGCA